AGGTGGTGAGGGAGAGAAGAGCGGGGGGTGGGTAGAGAGGCAGTGAGGCAGAGGCCATGCTCCCATTGAGTCAGGGGAATCTGGCTCTCATGTGTTTGAAAACTATTCACTTGTGGGGTTTTTGTTTTGTTTTGTTTGTTTTTTAAAGAAAAGTTGACCCATTGCTGATCTTGATTAGTCTATTCACTTGTAAATGAGAAAAGAAAAACCAAAGAAATTAAATGACTTGTACTGGATTTTACTGCTATTAATAGGTAGTGTCAGAAACTTGTCTCTTCCTCGTTTTGATTCACTTCACCTACAGTGAGTGAGTTACTATTTGGCGGCATCTGCCATTGTATTTGTTTGTTTTTGCTTAAATATAAATAATATTGCCCCAGAGTATTTTTCTTGGTCTTAAGCAATATTAAAATGACCTGAAACTTCCAGTGGCTTCCTGTGTCACTCATTGTACAAACCACATCCTTTGAGTAGCGCTCAAATCCCTAGTCACTCTGGCCCCTGTTCTCTGGGACCTCGGACCTTGTCCCCTACTCTTCTCCTTCCTTCTCCCACCCAGCACACAACCTTGTCTACTGTCCTTAGGAAACGCCAGGCACAGGCGCATCACACACAGGCCTGTACCAAGGTCTTTGTGCGATTGGTCTCTCTTGTGCCTGAAATGCTCTTTCCCTCACTGCTTTTAGGTCTTTTTTCTAATGTTACCTTCTGAAGAAACCTTTCATGATTATCTGTTTAAAGTTGTCATACCCCTTCTCACTCCCCAAACAAAAAAAAAAAAAACCAACTGCCCCATAGAGTTTCCAAGGAGCCACCTGGTGGATTCAAACTGCCAACCTTTTGGTTAGTAGCCATAGCTCTTAACCACTGCACCAACAGGGGTTCCTCTCACTCCCCATCCCCTTTTAATTTTCTCAATAGAAATCATCTTTTGATATAATATGTTTAATGTGTTTGTTATTGATCTGTTCCCACAATTATATACACTTCTTTTTGGCAGGCATTTTTTATGTCTTTTTGTTTGCTGCTATATTATACTGCTGAGCATGGTTTCAAGTATATAGTAGGCAATAGTATTTGTTTCATGAATGAGGAAATGAATCTAGTTTTTTAAAAAAAAATTTATTAGATCTAGACTTTATTAAACCTGTAGAATTTTTAGTAATGGTTATTTAACTAAAACACTCCAAAAACTAAAACTTTAAAACTTCCTACCATCCTTCTTTTTCTCCATAGTATTCTGACTTAACTGTAGATTCAGGTATTTCTTTGTTAATTGTCTGCCTTCCTCTCTGTGGAAGGAGGGAGCTCAGTGCCTGGCACATGCTAGATGCTTAATTTATTTATGAATGAATGAATGAGTAAGTGAATGAATTAATAAATGAATGGACTGAAGGAGACTGTACACTAGAAGTTACAGATTTTTTTTTTTAATATATACAGGTAGATCAGATGAATAAAATAGTGGAAGTTCTGGGTATTCCTCCTGCTCATATTCTTGACCAAGCACCAAAAGCAAGAAAGTTCTTTGAGAAGTTGCCGGATGGCACTTGGAACTTAAAGAAGACCAAAGATGGAAAACGGGTAAAATAGGGATCCGTTTTTTTAATCCTTTTTTATTTCTTTCACTGGAGCTATCTTTTTATAGTTCATTTTGTATTTACTTGAAATCAGTGTTACAGTTAACAATACTGTTGATAACTTAGGTACATATTTTGTTTAAAAGTTGAATGATAGTTTGACCTGAATTATTTGTACGGACCAGTGTTTGCTTAATGACTAGGGTTCCTTTTAAGACTTCATTTTGAAAACCACCTTTTTTTTTTGGAGGCTGCTGATCAAATCACCATGTCTTGCATCAGTAGTAGAATCAATAAATTTGACCTTTGTTTCTCCCAGCTTGAGCATATAGTGAAGCCACAGTTCACAATACTGCAGCTGTGAACAGAAGTTATGATTGCAGTCAATGGCTTTTTTTTTTTTTTTTTAAAGTTGATGGACTATGGGAGAAGAGGATTATTGCTAAAGAAATTTGTGATTAAGATTATTTTAAAGGATATGAACTGACTAAGTGGTCCTTTGATAGATTTCAGATTCCTAGTTCATTGACCTGATAGCAATCATTTTGTATCTCCAAAATTTTTAAAAGTAAAATTCTTAAAACATTAGGTTTGTTTTAGTAATTTTCTTTTTTCTGAGTACTTTTTTCAGATACTGAGATAATGTCAATTTAATAGGATAAATGATGGTAATTTTGCATCTTGGCTTGTATTTTTATATGTCTATAATCATATTTTTATAATCCAGTCTGATCTTAGTATAAAATGAATATAACATATAGATACGTGACTGCATGTGATATATGTACACGTTACCTTGTGACTTGTAGTTTTGAGATTTTACTTTTGCTCCGGTGGTTGTTTTGCCCATGCTTTTTAGTGATGCTGCCACCAGGTGTCATTTTCAAGGAACTGAAGATGATAGTGGTTTGCTTTAATTCACCTCCACATAGCTGTGGACTCAACTTTGAATATCAAATAATTTACTTTAAAACATTTAAAAATATATATATGTAATTGCATCTTTCACAACTGATTTGTAACTTTTAGTCCATTCTGCCTTTTTCTCTAAATTTTCAGCTGCTGCATTATGCCCACTTCCCATGAGGAAGATGGAAACTACCAAGCAAACATCCTGAGTCCCTCTTTAACCTTTGTCCATGTAACTTGTCAATCATGACCCCTTTTCCTACTGAACCAAAACATGGCCTGCGTATCCTCCTTAGCTCATCAACATTCAAGACAACCACTACCATTTGATTTGAACTTGCATAAAGGATATGAGACTTCCTTTATATTCTCTCTCTCTGTGCAATAGAAGTTGCCACTTTTCCTGTTGGAATTTTTTTTCCTTGTTTTTAAAATTTTTGCTCCTGCCTTTCCATCCCCCTAAATAAAACTACCTCCCCCCATCCCAAAATCTGTCTTCTGAAACCACAGTTAAGCAACTGTTATTATCTTGGTGGGGGGCACTTTAGAAATGAGTGATAAACCTTTTCCCTTTTTAAATTGAAAGTGAGTATCTTAATCTACATTTAATACATAGTAATTAACTTTAGATTTTATGAGATTTCCCTTAGCGACATTTAGCAATTAAGAATCATAATTTTTAAAAGTATAAAATAACTGTTTCCCTCTAATAAAAGTAGATATTACAATAAAAAATCCATAGTCAAATAGTCATATTATGAAGGATACACTAAGGCTTTTTAACCGTAGGTATAAAAATGTGCACACACCATCACTGATTTTATTGTTACTTTTAGTGCTTCATTTTTTATTTTAAGAACTTATTTTAAAGTTTTCCAGTAATATTATCTATAGCTACAATAAATGTTTTTCTTTGGCTAAGAAGGAAGATGAAGAATTGAGACTATAAATGATGCTGTTTTGTTGAGGTATAGTTTACACACAATAAAATGGATAGATCTTAAGTGTCCAGTTCAGCTTTAACCTTTATATACAATGATGTATCCACGACCTAAAACAAGATAGAATATTTCCACCACCCCAAAAGTTACTTTTTTTGTTTGTTTCTGTAAGGTTGTCTACTTAAACAGTCATGCCCTCTGCAAATGAAGACCTTTCTAGTTTTCTCTTCCTACCTGTACACCTTTTATTCCTTTTTCTTGGTTTATTATACTGACTGGGATCTCCATCTGTTGAATAGTGATAGAGCAGACATCTCGCCTTGTTCCCAATCTAATGGTAAAAGTATTCAATCATTCAACATTAAGTGTGACTTTAGTTGTACTTTTTTTTTTTTTTTTTTGGTAGATTTCCTTTTTCAGGTTGAAAAAGAGTACTTTTCTATTTCTAGTTTTTTGAGAGTTTTTTCAAAAATCAGGAATGGGCTTTGAATGTTGTCTGTCACACTTTTCCTGCATCTACAGAGATGATCATGTGATTTTTCACGTTAATGTGGTGAAGTACATTAATTGATTTTTGGAATGTTTAACTTACGATAAACCAAACTTGGCCAGAATATACTATCCTTCTTATATATTGCTGGGTTTGATTTGCTGCTCTGTTGGTAAGGAGTTTTGTTTCTGTGCTAATAATGGATAATTGCCTAAAATTTTCTTGTAATATTTATTAGATTTGGATCTCAGGATTAGGTTGGCTTCATAAAACTGTTGGGAACTATTCTTTATTAATACTTTGGAAAAATTGGCATTATTTCTTTAGTAAACGTTTAACATAATTCATCAGTGAAACAAAAAGCATCATGGCCTGGGGTGTTCTTTGTTAGAAGTTTATTAATTGTGACTTGTATTTTTGATAAATACAGGGTGATTTAGGTTTTCTTTTTGAGTCAATTTTGGTAAATTGTGTATTTCAAGAAATCGGTCCTTTTCATCTAAGTTGTTAAATTTGTTGGCATAAAATTATCCATAGTATCTTGTTATTATCTTTTTAATTTCTGGAGGATCTGTAGGGATAGTTTTTCTTTTATTCTTGATATCGGTCATTTGTGTTTTCTCTCTTCTGCATGATTAGTCTTGCTAGAGATTTATCACTTATTAATTTTTTCAAACAATCAAATTTGTCTTTGTTGATCCCCCCCATTCTTTGTCTAGTTTCTATTTAGTCGATTTTTGTTTTTTATTATTTTCTTTATTTCTAATTACTTTGGCTTGAATGTGCCCTGTTTTTTTTAGCTTCCACCTAGGTCATTGATTTTAAATCTTTCTTATAAAAGCATCTAATGGATAAATTTTTCTCTAAGCGCTGCTTTAGCTGCATCCTGCAACTTACATGTTATGTGTTACGTTTCAGTTAATCATTTTGAAAACCGTTTTAAATTTCTCTTGTGATTTCTTCCTTAACCCATGACTATTTCGAATTCTGTTACATAATTTCAAAATATTTGAGGATTTTTTATTGTTATTGATTTCTAATTTGGTAGCACTGTGGTCAGAAATGGAGCCCTGGTGGAGTAGTGGTTAAGCGGCTGGCTGCTAACCAAAAGGTCGGCACTTAGAATCCACCAAATGCTTCTTGGAAACCCTGTGGGGCAGTTCTCTTCTGTTCTGTAGGGTCACTATAGGTTGAAATTGACTTGATGACATTGGGTTTGGTTTGGTTTTAGGCATGGTAAAAAAAAAAAAAACAAAATCTATTATTTTACTCCTTTAAAATTCATTGAGACTATTTTACAGCCTAGTATGTACTCTCTCTTGGTAAATGTTCCATATGCATTTGAAAAGAATCAGTATTTTGTATTTGTTTGGTGTGGTGGTCTGTAAACATCAATATAAGTCATTTTATGTTTTTCTTCACATCTTCTGTATTCTTACCTTGTGTGTGTGTGAGTGAGGGCACACATGTGTATGTTCTTTCAATAACTAAGAGAGAAGTGTTAATCTTTAATGATAATTTTGGATTTACCTAAATTTCCTTTAGTTGCTTTATGCTTTTTGAAGCTCTGTTAATAGCTGTGTCCACATTTGGGAATTGTTATGACTTCTTGATAAATTGACCCTTTTATCATCATGAAATATTCGTCTTTATCTCTAATAATACTTTTGTCTTTATGTCTACGTTGTCTGATATTACTATAGCCATATCAGCTTTCTTATTCTTAGTATTTCCATGGTATTATTTTTTTCTACCCTTTTTCTTTAAACCTGTCCATATCTTTATATTTGAAGTATGACTTTTATATATATTGAACATACCCTTGGGCTGTATTTTTTAATCCAGTCGGATAATCTTTTACAATGAGTATTTAGCCTGTTTAATTATTCAGAGGGTTGGTTTTAAGACTTGTCTTATATGTGTTCTCTGTTCCTTCATTTCTGCCTGTTTTTGGGTTAATCTCATACTCTTAGTATTTCATCTCCTCTGTTGACTTTTAAGCCATTTCTGTTCCTGTGTGTGTAATTTTTATTTGTTTCTTTTATGATACGCATCTTTGACTTACCAGTTTACCTTCAAATAATATTATATCACATGATAAACAATGTAATAACCGTATAGTTCTGTTTAACCCCTTCCATCTTTTGTGTTCTTGTCATGTATTACTTCTACGTATGTTAAAACCCCACAGCACATTATTGGCTGTTTAAATTAAAAAAACAGACCTTTAAAGAAATTTTAAAAACACATAAAAATTGTAATAAAAAAGATCTTTTATATTTACCCATACATTTGCCGTTTTTGTTGTTTCATTCCTTTCTGGGTTTCCTGGCTTCCATCTGGTATTTGCCTTGAGCCCGAAGAACTTCCTTTAACTTTTTCTTTTATAGTGAATGGTGTCTGTTGATGAATTCTCCCAAGTGTTCATTTATCTGCAAATGTCTTTATTTTACCTTCATTTTTGGAATTTATTTTTGGTGGATATAGAATTCTGAGTGAACACTATTTTTTTCTTTCAGAAAAAGAAAACAGATGTTGTGACATTGTTTTTTGGCTTTCGTTATTTCTGATAGGAAGTCATTGGCCATTCTTACCACTGCTTCTCTGCGTGGAATGTGTCTCCCTCTAACTCCTAGCTGAGAGCAGTATTTTTATGTCTAATTTTCAGCAGTTTGATTGAACCAAAACTGTTTATGTCCCTAAATATGGCTTTCTTTGGTATTTTTTCTGTTTGGGGGTTCTCTAAATAGAGGTATGCTAGAGTGCTCAATATTATACCAGAGGGCTCTGGTTTATTTATTCTGTTTACTTTTTGTGTCTGAGTTTGGATAATATCAGTTGCCCTGTCTTCTAGTTCACTGATTTTTTTTTTTCCTTCTGAGTCCAGTCTGCTGTTAAAACCATTAAATGGATTTGTCATTTCTGATCATTTTTTTTTTTTAATTCTCGCATTTCTATTTGTCCTTTAAAAAAGTTTTATCCACCTTTTAAACTGGATTCTTTAACCTGTTTATCATAGTTACTTTAAAATGTTGGTTAATTTCAACATCTGGGCCATCCAGGGACTGTTTTTATGTGGATCTTCTTTTTAACTATTTTTTTCTCTTGATTATGGGCCTCTTTTCTTTTTTCTTTTTTGCTTCTTCTTGTGTCTGTAATTGTTTAACGTATGCCAGACTTGCTGTATTTAAGAACAGTAAAGATGTAAGTCAGTCATACGTCCCCTCAGAAAGATGGATACCTTTTCCTCTGTCAGGTCACCAGTGTGGGGCCGAGCCAGTCTCCTTTGTAGTTTTAGGGGATCTGGGCTTTGTTTGTCTGTATGACTTAGGATCGATTTACCACTGGCTTCATATGTTTTGAAGGCAAAATCAGGACTTGCCCTTAAGCAGCTCTTGTGTTCTGAGCACCGGATGGGAGACTCCAGAAGTCTCTATGTGTATTACTGCCCGGCCAGCAGTCTCACTGCCAACTTTGCCCCCACCAGGAGATCTTTCCCCATTGCTGCTCTGCCCCCAACCTTGCAGTCAGTCACAGCTCTTTGTGCCCTGGGGGAACCCCTCTTGGCTCTCATCCCTGGTCCTGTCCAGGGCCTCCCCTCACTGGCCAACTGGGAGTTTGTTCAGAGTTGGTCAGGTTTCTCCTTACCACATCTCTGGTATGCTTGTTCCTGCTCTCTCTTCTCTCCTAGCAAAGGTGTTTCATTATCTAGAATTAGTTGATTCTGGCTTCTTTGAGTCCTCGGTTTTTTCTGATAGGTTTTTAAAAAGCAATGATTTTGTAGTTTACCTGGCTTGTTCTCACTTTTAGAGTGGGAGCAGTGTTCTCTTGCAAATTTCTGTGTTGTAACTAGAAGCAAAAGTCTAAAGATGTTTGAATAAATTCAGAATTCTTAGGGATCTTAAGAGTCCTTGGGTAGCACCAATGGTTAAATGTTTGACTGCTGACTGAAAGGTTGGTGGTTTGCGTCCACCCAAAGGTGTCTCGGAAGACAGGCCTGGCAGTCTGCTTCCGAAAGGTCGCTGCTTTGAAAAATCTGTGGAGCAGTTCTACTCTGCACGCATGGGGTCGTCATGAGTCAGAATTGATTCGACGGAAACTACCAACAACAGCTTAAGGGTTATACTATTATCTATAAAAATACTTTTCTAAAAACATCTCAACACACGTTAAAGTAAAATATTAAATACATTAGAGGGAAGCATAAATGATTTGGTTTTAATTTCTTTAAATATGAACAGGTGGTGATTCTTTACATGGATGTACTCCCCTGGGGCAGTCACCGCAGCTGTAGGAGCCAGTGCTCCTGAAGGAAGTGTACTCGCGTTCTCCACGCGTTAGGGCAGGAGAGAGGGTCAGGACCACTGGGCTGGGGCAGGCTCGGCACACCGCCTAGTGCCTCTGTAAAGGGCCAGAGAGTGCATGTCCTAGGCTTTGCGGGCCTCCATTGCGTATTCTTCTTTGTTTTTTGCAACCCTTTAAAAATGTAAAAACCATTTTTAGCTAGGCCTATACAAAACCAGACTCTGAGCTAGACCATAGTTTTCTGCTCCCTGGGCTAGATGATCTTTAAAGTCGTCTTTGCTCTCAAAATTATGTTCAGAATAGTAATGTGTGAAAATACGGAAGGTCTAACTCTAAGCTGTTCCTTTTAGTAAAGGCCTCAACAAATAGTATGTTAAAATATCTGTGAAGTTAAATTATGTAGGTTTTTACTTATTCCATCAAATTTAAAGAAAACCTTTTTCTCTTTCTTCTCCTGTAGGAGTACAAACCACCAGGAACCCGTAAACTCCATAATATCCTTGGAGTAGAAACAGGAGGACCTGGTGGGCGCCGTGCTGGGGAATCGGGTCATACTGTAGCTGACTACTTGAAGTTCAAAGACCTCATATTAAGGATGCTTGATTATGACCCCAAAACACGAATCCAACCGTACTATGCCCTGCAGCACAGTTTTTTCAAGAAAACAGCTGATGAAGGTACAAATACAAGTAATAGTGTATCCACAAGTCCGGCAATGGAGCAGTCACAGTCTTCAGGCACCACCTCTAGTACATCGTCAAGCTCAGGTCTGTTCTTTATGCTAGACTTAGACTTCGAAATGTTTTGTATTTTTTTGCAAAATGGGGTTATTTTAAAGTGTTGGTAAAATTTGTTAATTGGGTGGGGAGGAATGGTTTTACTTAATCTCTTCTTTGTATTAGTAATAAATTCATCTACCCTAAAGCGCCAGTACTTAAATTACGTAATAAATTCTGCTTGCTGGTTGAAAACACACTATTTATTTAAAACATTCTTAAAATTGTTTTTAAGTGGAACTGCTTTGTCCACATGCTGATGTTTTCCCTTAGCTTAACCAAGCTTGATTGTAATTGTATTTTAGTTCAGTGGTTGATGAGAAAGAACTTCGTTTTAGCTAGAAAATCTTACAATTTTGTGATAGGTTGTCAATTTTAATAATGCGGTACTGGAGCATGAACTTGAACAAAATAAACTCACAAGTTGTGCTGTGTTGTGATATTTAAGGTGGATCATCGGGGACGAGCAACAGTGGGAGAGCGCGGTCGGACCCGACGCACCAGCACCGGCACAGTGGGGGGCACTTCACGGCCGCTGTCCAGGCCATGGACTGTGAGACGCACAGCCCCCAGGTCAGCATTCACACTGCGGCCACTCACGGCTCCCGCCCTGGGGCTTGGCAGCATTGCCCTTCTAGTCATAAGTCATTTACTCTAAAAGTTCATAGCTTCCTTATTTATGAGGAAATGTAACTTACTTGTAATTAAAGGAGCACGTCCTTCCAGTTTCTGCCTCCTTGTTTAGCAATAGCTAACATTTATTGGGTGCATACCAGCTATTGTTCCACGTTTTTCCTGTGTTATCTCATTTGCCACAACAGCATTTTGAGCTTCACACTGGTTTGAGCCTCATTTTACAGTGGGAACTGAGACTTCACGGGTTAAGTAACTTTCCCTGGGTCACGATCTCGATTACTATGCTATACTAAGTAATATATCATATATTACAGGTATATATATACCATATGTATACCTGAAATATATAATATATATATAATACAAAAGATCCCATGATCTTTTAGCACTCATTATCTGGGATTCTGAAATAGTGTATGACTTGATTTTTACCCCTGTGTTTTTTTGCACTTGCTTTTTTAAGCCTGTTAAAGAAGAAGATCTAATTAAGTAATTTTTTTAAAATTGGGATGAAGCAGGTGGTGGTGGTAAAAGTATTTAAATCCTTTTTGTAAGGTAGTAAGTTAGTCTATACTGAGAAGTGCGTTATGGTATTTTAAGGTAAGAAGTCAGTGTATTATTTGGTGGGTGAAATAAAAGTGAAAGTTGTTAGTATCATCCTCATTCTTGTGACTGGGGCTGCTGAATGTGACTGGACAAAGTCACACACATGGTCACATTGTTACCACTATTAATTGGTGTTTACCTACCTCCACTGGGCAGTCTTAAACAAGTCTTCTGCACTTCTTAAATTTTTTGACTTCCTTCTCTGTGTTCACTCTCTCTTTGCTTTGTAAGGAAAGTAGTCTTTAATTTTTTATCATAGACTATACAGTCCTACCTACCTGTGCAATTGTCTGTGTCTCTTTCTCCCTCTTTTCATGAGAAGCCATGTTTCTTCCCACCCGAGGCCAAGCCCACCTGGTGCCCTCCCGTCTCCTCCTGCTCCTCCACCAGGCTTCGCTCCTGGTCCCTCCTCTAGCTCCGCTCAGCCTCTCCTTGGTGCTGGCTCACTGCTCTTATCAGCATTTCACCATTCTCAGGTCTCTCCCATCTTAAACAAAACCTTTCCCTGGCCCCATGTCTTCCTTACCCTGTATTTCTGCCACCTGTGGTCTCTATTCATTTCTTTACCTTTTAAAAACTCATTAGCCTGCTCCAGTTAGGGTCCTGCTTCCAGCTCCACGGCCACTGTCACCAGGGAGCTCTCTTCTCTGTTGATGAGTCCAGTGGATGCTCTAATTGCTTGCCTTTCTTCATCCCTTGACAACATTTGACAGTGTTGACTTCTCCCCACTTTTTCAAACACTCCTTCTGGTTTGACAGGATGCTCCCTTCATTCCCCATCCCTGTGGCCTCTACTTGGCTGTCTCTCTTTCTGGATTCTCTTCTTCCATCCACGACTTAAACACTGGTGTTCCTGGGGCCTGGCCCTGGGGCCTGTCTCTTCTCACTTTCCCCTCTACCTGGATGATCTCACCCACTCTTACCAGTGATTTCAGTTACCATCTTTATGTCAGTCATTCCTGCATCTTTATTTCTGGCCTAGACTTCACTCCTGAGCCCACAGTCTTTATTCTCCTATTGTTTACTATAAACATCACTTTGAAAGTTTCACCAGCCGGAATTGCAAATGCGTCACGTAAACTGATGTCATCATTTTCACCTTCACCCCAGCTCCTCCAGTGTTAGCTGGTTTGTAAATGGCCCGCATGCACCATTTGCTCCAGTCATAAACCTGGAATGTAGGGGCTTATCCTTTGCTCCTTTCCCTCACCCCCCACACTGAATGAAAGTTAAATGATGTGGATTGTGAATAATGTTTTTATTCTCTCTACCTCATTTCTCGCCTATTGCTGCCACCATCTCCAGCCTATCTTACTGGTCTTCGAGCATTCCATTCACCCATCAACTCCAGTCCCTTCTCTAGAGCTGAGTGATCTTTCAGAAGAGCAATCTGATCTTGCTGTTTTTCCTACTTTAAGCCAACTTTTGGCTTTCCCTTGTACTTAAAGTAAAATTTAGGCTCCTTACCACGATCTAAGTGATTGCCGTGATCTGGCCTCTACCAGGCCATTTTTCCTCCCTTCACTAGCTCTGATCTTACTGGATTTTTTTTATTTTTTATTTTTTTTCCATTTTTTGAAACACACCATGTTCTCTCCCACTCTTCTCACATTTACTGTGCTCTCAGCCTGGGATACTCTTTCTCCCTCTCTTTGCTTTGGTAATTACTATGTATGCTTCAGGTTTTCACTTAAATATCACTACTCCTTCCTTGCTTCCTCCCTCCCTCCCTTCCAAATATATTAAATATTGCAAAGATAGAAAAGTACTAAGAATAACTTAAGACACCTGTTTACTTCCTACCCATATTTAATCAAAGTTATTTTGCCTTATTTGCTTCAGATTCTTTTTTATTATTTAATTTTTGAATAGGTAATACATTTACATGGTTAAAAAATAAGTATAAAAGGAGATTCAGTGAGAAATCTTCTGTGTCCTCTCGCCAACCAATTTTTAAATTATTAGCGTATCCTTTCTTAGATATTTTATGCACATACAAACAAATACAAATCTATATTCTGCTCCCAACCTTTGTACACAGATAGTAGGATACCATGCACACGTATTTAACATATAACTATATTTTGGAGATCTTTCTGTATCAGTATATAGAGAGCTTTTTTTACTATTGTGAAAATAATGCTGTGTGTATATCATTCTAATATGTGTAATTTATCAGTGATATAGAAACTTGCTGGGTTAAACAGTAATACGATTTTTAATTTTGATAAAACTCCAGAGAGTTTTATCAATTTACCCTCTCACCAGTAGAGTTTGGAGAACCAGTCAGTGTGATCAACCTTTGGACCTTTGCCAGTAGATGAAATGAAAAAAAATGGTATTCTGGTTTTATTTTGTTTATTATTATGCATGAATTTGAGTAGTTTCATATTTTAAATAAGAACCTTTAGGATTTTGTTTTTTGAGAACTCTGTATTTTTCTACGGGGCTGTTTTCAGTAGTATTTTTAATTAAATTTTGGTTTTGACACCATCTTCATTGATTAGATATTTAGTATATGAGGCATTTGGATGATCTTGGCCAGGTAGAGGATAGAAGGAATGGCAGATATGCAGCTCATTGTATGGATTTTGGATTACAGTGGATCCTCATTATTCATGGATTATGTATTTGTGAATGTGCCTACTCACTAAAGTTATTTGTAACCCCAAAACCAATACTCACTGCACTTTTGGGGTCATTCACAGACATGTACATGCACAGAGCAGCAGTTTGAGTTGCTCCAATGGCCTGTTTCCGGCTGATTCAAAATTCACTTAATTCAGTATTTGTTGGGACTTTATAGAATAACTACTATGAATAACAAGAATCACCTGTATTTGTTTTTGTACGTGTAATGAGAAGTCATTAAAGGATTTTAAAGAGGGAGAGAGGATTTATATTTTAGAAAGATCATTCTTTGACTCTTCTGGAGAATGGGTTGGAGATGGGCAAGGGTGGGAGCAGGGAGTTTGTTTAGGAAGCTGTTGTATTACTCTTGGCAAGAGATGTCAGTGGCCTAGATTGGAGTGACGTGGTGGAGATGGAGAGAAGGGGCCATTTGGAATACACACGATGAAAGTAGACTCTGCAGGGCTTTGCTTAGGGATCGGATGGAGGGATTGTTGAGCAGCTAGATGTATGTGGTTGTTGTGGGCCGTCGAGTCAATTCCGACTCATAGCAAGCCTATAGTAGTGCTTTCATTGAAACAGGAAGGGTAGAGAGAGGAGGGCTTTTCGTGGGGAAAGTGAAGACTTCCTTTTGGATCCGTTAAAAATACTTACATGGCCCTTTATAGAAAAAGTTTGCCAACTCCGAGCATAATAGCACTCCCAAGGAAAGGAAGTGGCTAATGAAATATATGAGCCCATTTATGGATGTAATTTACTAAAAACTGAAGTTTTCATAGTAACATTTTTTTATTCTTGAACATAATTGGAATCTTGCACTAACACATTAAATGTTTCAAAACTCTTTCTCCCTAATTAATATAAATGCTAGTGTTAATAGACTTTGAAGATAAAAGCATGGAAACAGTGCTGAATAAATTCTGTTAAAATCTGTTCTTACAGGTGCGTCAGCAATTTCCGGCTCCTCTTGGTTGGTCAGGCACCGAAGCTCCTACACAAGTCACTGTTGAAACTCATCCTGTTCAAGAAACAACGTTTCATGTAGCTCCTCAACAGAATGCATTGCATCATCACCATGGAAATAGTTCCCATCACCATCACCATCACCACCACCACCACCACCACCATGGACAACAAGCCTTGGGTAACCGGACCAGGCCAAGGGTCTACAACTCTCCAACGAATAGCTCCTCTACCCAGGATTCTATGGAGGTTGGCCACAGTCACCACTCCATGACATCCCTGTCTTCCTCAACTACTTCTTCCTCTACATCTTCCTCCTCTACTGGTAATCAAGGCAATCAGGCCTACCAGAATCGCCCAGTGGCTGCTAATACCTTGGACTTTGGACAGAATGGAGCTATGGACGTTAATTTAACCGTCTACTCCAATCCCCGCCAAGAGACTGGCATAGCTGGACATCCAACATACCAATTTTCTGCTAATACAGGTCCTGCACATTACATGACTGAAGGACATCTGACAATGAGACAAGGAATTGATAGAGAAGAGTCTCCTATGACAGGAGTTTGTGTTCAACAAAGTCCTGTAGCTAGCTCGTGACTAAATTGAAACTTGAGTTTGTTTCTTGTGTGTTTTTATAGAAGTGGTGTTTTTTTCCAAAAACAAAGTGCAAAGCTGCTTGAATCAGAAGGAGATTAACACACTGAACCGCTACAAGAGGGCAGAGCTGACCCTTTCTTTTTTTTTTAAACTTGAAAAGATTGCAGAGGGACAATGAAGTTTTTTAAAGAGCCATGTCCAAACCCATCTTCATGGAGAGCTCAGAGGTAGCACCTCTCCTTTTGCCTCACCTGTTTTAACTTGCCACATCCCAGTCATAGTGGGTTTTTTTGTCTTTCTATTCAACAAAAGTTAATGGTCAGATGTTGGTCTTGGTCATTTGCCAACTAATTTTAAAATAAAAAGGCACTGCACATAATTTGCATCAAGGGCCCCGTAAGGGTGTTTTTTCCCCTTTTTTGTTTCTCCTTTCCCTGTTTTTGTTTTGTTTTGTTTTGGGTGGGGGTGGGCAGTTTGGGTTTTTAAGTCCTCTAAACACGCTTGGGCACGGAAATGCAGTACTGTAGGGAAGAGGGACCTCCAGCTTACACAAACATCATCTTCAGCTGTACGAAAGGGACGGTTGTGTTGAAGTTTGTAAGGCACAGTAAGCATGCTAAGTGGCGGGGATCAGAACTCTCCTGTCTGAACCTACTGAGGAGCAAAGCAGCAATTACGTGGGATTCTGTGGGCCTCCTGTTTTTCGAGGCCGCAGGGAGATATAGTAATGGAACATGACTGGTCTCCTAACCAAGGTGCACTGAGAAGCAATCAACGGGTCAGTCATGGCCAGTCCTGGGGAGGTCTGAGTGGTGGTCTTTGGGATAACCTTTGGCCTTATGGATTTGGACTCTAAATTAGAAGAGCCTGCCATTTCAGATGCAATCACTTTTGGACATGCTTTTGCAGACAGTCCTTAATGCTGAAAACACAGAGAATGGGTAATTCAAGAGGCCTTTCTTTTAAAATAGACTTTTGTGACCCACTAATTGTAAGGTATTGCAAGGTCACTTTGCGTGTGTCATAAAGTTGACTTCCTTATTGGTTGAAGGTCACAGAAGTAGTGGTTTGCTTTGATGAAAATAGCTACAGCTGTGTCCCTTCCTGCTTTTTACTTTTTCTTTTGCTTTTTCTCGGCACGTGGTATCTCCACCATTTCTTCTGCACAAAGATGTCTTCTGTTCATCCTGAACATTTTTAAAAAAATGCAGAATTTTATGTGACTGCTTTTTTGCCTCACAATTATGCTGTGAATTTTACAAAAATTTATTTTCTTTTTTGATAATTTATTGTACCAAAGCTGTTTTTATAGCACATAGATGTCTGTAACCAATAATGTAGCAGTTCTGCACTTTGACACAAGGTGTAACTAGACCATTTTTAAATGTCAGTTGAAAATTATGGCTGTACTATTGCTTAAACAAAACTGGAACTGTTGTTGAATCCATAGCCAATACATTTACAGCAATCTGTGTACTGAACATAATAGATTGACATCTAACTCAAGATTACAACATCTGTTAAACATTATAAATGTGTTCAGGCTTCCGAAGGGAAAGGGACACTGGATCCAGAAGCTGTGGAACCAGCAGTTGATCCTTGTATTCCTGATTAACCTACTTGTAAACTTGAAAGCAAGACCTTGATTGCACAAACAGGTCCCGAATATGAGCACGAGTAAAGCCGAACTCTCACGCACGACCTGAAGGTAACAGGCTGGTATTTAACAGGTGCCTAGTTTTGAGATTATGCTGCCTTAATGTAACACAGTCTGGCAGTTGCTAAATTTGTGTTCCCATTTTTAAATTGACCAATTTTAGGGAGTTATACTTTTGAGTGGTTGAATTGGGAGAATGGAGAGAAGTAATTTTACCTGTCCAGGATCAAAAGAAGCCTAGAAAAGCAGCAGTTATCTACCTCTGCCAATAAACCCTGTTCAGAACAACTCAGCAGAACACCACATTACTTTTTACTGGTCAATTCCATGTGGCTGACAAGGTCCAGTTTTTCTGAACAAAAGAAGGTTTTTATATGTAACCAGTGACAAAAAGAAAGGCTTAAAACTATGTAAATGTGAATGGAAACTTGGAAATATCCGTTTTCATAAACCACAGAATTTTTTGTTGTTAATCAGGAAATCCATATTTATTTTGTAATTAAATGTCAAGCCTGTGGATGATTTTTGAACTTGGTGGTTCATAAAGGTTTACAGTAAATAAAAGGATATCATTTTGAGTATAGCAATATCAAAAGGAATTCAGTAGTTACTGCTGTTGAGGAATATAAGGTTCAGATATTATATGGGTCAGGTCATTTTTTTCTGTGCTGGTTGCCACATCTTAGTAAGCACCAAAAACAAAAGCAGTTTTTAAACCGATATTTACATAAAGAAAATCATACATACAATCCACTGCTTCTGCATACTGTGTTATGTTACAGTCCAGTTTTGTGTGCTTTACTACACAGTTTGGTTACAGGACTTCTGTGCATTGTAAACATAAACAGCATGGAAAAGGTTAAATACCTGTGTTCAGATTGTAAGATCTAGTCCGGACTTGCTGTGTATATTGTAACGTTAAATGAAAAAAGAACCCCCCTTTGTATTATAGTCATGCGGTCTTATGTATGATAAACAGTTGAATAATTTGTCCTCAGAGTCTTTACTATGCTTTTTTAAAATTAAGAAAAATGTAAACATAGTTAAAAATATCTTCCTATGCAATTAACCTGGTCCAGGTAATGGTCTGGTAGGTATACTGAGTAAAAGTGTAGTCTGATGTGTAAGAGAGGAAATATTAGCTACATCCACATAGGCTTCCAAAATCTCGGAAAGTAAAAATTGGAGGTTTAACAGCATTTTGATTTTTAAAATGGAATGATTATTTATATACCATATTCCCACCATTTCTCATTCAGAGTGCTCACATTTTAGTTTGTAGTGTTTAGAATGAAAGTGGAGGTTAGATGATTTTTCTCTAATAGGCTTTGACCTGCTTGGAAGCAAGACAGTATACAAATATTATTGTTCCTCCCTCTCCAAATCCTAGTATGGGGACATTTCAGGGACTGTCTTATAGAAGTTCTAGAATTCCTGCCACAGTGAGTTTCTAACCTAAAGTCTTCTGGTTTTATAAATTAACCTGCAGAAGTATATATTAAGTTGACTTTTGGAGATAAGAAACTTACTTAGTTAAATGTGATTTTTGTAAAATTCAGATTGGCTAGATAAATCTGAATTTACTACATGTAAGAAAAAACTTTAATTTTTTCTTAGGGTATGAGAATTTTAACTTAGGTAAGTGACATATTTTGTGATATTGGACTAAAGAAAACTGAGGCTTATTTTTATTTCATGAATATTAGAACTTTATGTAAGAAATCATCAAGGCTGCGAAAATTACTTAAGGCTCCCAGAATGACCATCACGTTTGCCACTGTACCCTCTTTTCCAGCTCCTCTGTTGTTAAACTTAGTGATACATTCTTACAATAAGGAAATGCAGAAACAGAAAATACACATAAAGACAAGATAGCAAATGTTAAATTTCTTCTAGGCCAGTTCCCCAATTCCTTTTGACTTGCCTTTCTTTTGTTAGCCTCCAGGATACAAGTTCAGAACTCATTTTTATATGCATGTTTATAGTGGTGACCATACATAGTAGACCAGATGGTTTATTCCAGACACAGGCCTTGGTCATAGTGCCATATGTGAAAAAGTTTGAAAATTTAAAGGGTTGCGGGGAGGAGGGGAATGTGCCCAGCTTTGGTATACTGAGACTGTACAGGCAAGTCCCCGGATTACAAAAAAAGTTCTGTTCTTAAATCTGTCTTTAAGTGGAATTTGTACGTAAGTTGAAACAGTTATGTATGGTTCGTATATAAAGTCAATCAAATATTTGTCTTAGTATATAGTGTATCTATGTATAAAAAACATTAAAGAAACACTTCCAGATACACTAAAACATCTAAAATAATATAGTACTAATAATGTTTTCACGTGTGTTGCAAATTGGCACCTGTTTGTTATTATGAACCATCATATGTACCTTGAATTTTTAATATAATAGGCTTTATGGGGGTTGACCCATAACTACGTATGTAAGTCGAACGCTTGTAACCGAACGCTTGTAACCGAGGACTGCCTGTACTCAGGTTTTGTAAAATTCCACCTGGGGTGTGTCTACTGGCCAGGCACTAGAAAGCAGGGCTTCAGACTGCTTCTTTCAGGTTAAAACCCTTGAATTTGGATTTCTAACAAGTTCCCAGGAAGTTTTTAGATAAGAGTCACCTGAAGATCTTGTTAAAATGTTAATTCTGATTAATTATATCTGGGGTGGAAGTGTGAGTTCTCAGCAGGGAACTTGTTAGAAATCCAAATTCTCAGCAAGGGGCATGAACCAGAACAAACGGGTTCAAAGCCCTGCTAGAAAGCCTTTGGAATCAGGAAGAATTTAGAGCAGATGTTATTTTCTTAACCATGTATCTCCTTACTTAGACTTGTTTCCTAGAAGGATAACATACATCAAGTCACTTGGTGCAAAGAACAGGAAACCTTTAAGAAAACAGCTTTATTCTTTATCACTTCCTCTAACGGCATAGCTGTACTCTACATGGGTCCACTAAGAGCTGTCCTGCGAATGCCAATTGGGTTTTCACCCTGTGTTAGTCATTTCCACATGTGCTTAAAGCATTAGTTTTTTGATGGCAGACTCGTTGAGTAAGGTAGGTGGTCTGTTGGTTTGCGCGCTTGTCTTTCTCCTCAGCAGTATGCATAGTCAAGGGCCCAGATGTCACCTGCTCTCAGTGAGAGGCCGTAAAGAACCAGGCAGTTCTTGTAACATAAAATAATACGATTCACCGTAAGACAGCACAATTGTTTACTTTTTCTAATTTCTTAAGTAGTCTTCAAAGACAAGATATTTCTCCACCTGAACACTGACTGCACGCATACAGTTAACAACTTGGTACCTATAACCCCACAGGCTGCTTTTCTATGTGCAGCTTCTTTACCTGAAAACACTCTCCCCTGTAGCTCCCTCCCCCGCTTAGAGTGTGCCCCTCTGCAAAGTGAGAAGTGGGGGGTGAATTTCAGATTCAGGGAGGCAAGAATTCTCTGCATTCCCCAGCAGAATGTATGGATGCTGCTTCAGACAGGAATCCTTGAACTCACTTCCTTTTGCTTTCACAATTAGCATTGTTTAGTCTCAACTGGGTTCTGAAGGAGCAGAGGACCAGGTTAGGCGTCGCGTTGGCCAATAAATTGATTTTAAAATTTGGGTCAAGAAAGATGGTAGCCAAACTCCTGGTGGAGGATAGGGGAAATAGAGCAAATAAATGCAGCTCATTTATACTGGAAGATAATGCCGGTAGGGGATGCATCAGTGAGCGGACTGACCACACATTCTCATATCTAGAAAAATATTCAAAGGGTTTTCAGGTTGCAACATGTAGAAAGGCCACATAGGTATTACATTTTGTCTGTTTGAAAGACCATAGTTTATCTGATTATCTTTCCAATTAAATTTTTTTGAATTGCTACCTTTGGGATTTTTTTGGTTTTTATTTTATTCTTGTAAATTTCCTCCCAGTATTTACTCATTAATTGCCCCAGAGTACTTCAGGAGGAGGGTAGAGCCAGCGCCATGGGAGAAAGTGGCAGGTAGTGGGGTGGGAGGTAGATCTTCACTGGGGCAGGCTGAGAAGCTGGCCTAGCAGGTGTGGCTGGTGCATGGATCATTAACACGCAAGAGGTGGGAGAGCTGAGCCTGACCGAGGTCAGCCACAGAGAAAAGCTTACCTCAGCAGAATATGCTAAATTGGTCAAGGTAGAGCTGGATGGTGAATCATCTTTGACTCACTGTTGCAGAGAAACGCTGCATAGAAGTCCAATAGTAGGGTGGGGTGAGAATGGGGCTTGGTCGTTCCCTTTGAAACTACAAGTACTTCTCGTGGTATAAAATGGTTCTGCTTTTAAAGATCTAAGGAGCCCTGTTGGTGCAGTGGTTAAGCACTTGGCTACTAACTTAAAGGTCAGCGGTTTGAACCCCCCAGCTGCTCCACAGGAGAAAGATAACGGCAGTCGGCTTCCATAAAGATTTATAGCCTTGGAAACCTCTGGGACAGTTGTAGTCTGTCCTGTAGGGTCATTATGAGTTGGAATTAACTAGACGGCAATGGGTTTTAAAGATCTAAAGCACAATACAGTGAAATAGTGACCTGAACGAGGAAATCTGCTTTTGTATACACCGTAGACCAGCCCTAGTCACTGGAGAGGTGAGGGCATGTGGAGTGATGTGATCCAGTGCTGGGTGAAGTCAGGCAACTTCAGCTTCCACTCACTGCTTTCATGTCCAGGGAATGAGTAAGCACATTTCCTCAAAAGGGTTGTTTTGATATACCTGTGATCTTACCAAACTGCTAAATGGTACTCGCCAATTTAAAACAGCAGCTTTTAGCCCTGCTGCACATCAGACTCACCTGGAGAGCTTCGTAAAACGGCGGGTTCCCCCTCCTAGAATTTTTAATTCAGAGACTGGGGGTGGGGCCTGGCCACGTATTTTTTAAAAAGCTTTACAGGTGATTCTGAATCTGCAGCGAGGGAAGACTCAGGACAAGGAGGTGTGTGTGTGGATCCAACATTGGGATCCTGAGTTACAGAGCTTTTAAAATCTAGGTTTATTATTCAAGTATATATATATGTGTGTGTATATATACACACACATATAAAGTAAAATAATAAAATTCATAAGACATACTGCATTATAAAATGTTACAAACAAGCCCGCTCCCCCAAGGCAGAAATTACCAGATGTAAATATATAAAACTTAAGACAATTTTTTTTTTCTTTTGGGCTTTAGGTGAAAGCTTACAGAGCAAATTAGTTTCTCATTAAAAGACAATTTGTTTCCTTTGTTATTTTCCAGTTTGGAAGTGGGTTGATGTGACATCCTGTCTATGAGAATGGCACGTGTGAAGTTTACTTGCCAGCAGCAGGATGGGATTTGCTTCTCCAGGCCTCAGGCTCACGCGGTCTTGTCTAAGATGTGGGAGGTTCTCCCTCCGTGAGCGCACTGGTCTGAGTGCAGGTGTGTGGGAAAGCAGCTTGGTGTGGAGGCTCAGATTTCAGGTTCTAGAGTCACAGGGGATTCAAACCCTGTTGGAGCACTTATCAGCTGTTACCCTGTGCGAATCGCTTACTTCTGGAAGCCTCCCTTTCCTCTTTGATAAGATGGGGTAACTGCAGTATCCACTATATGGGATTTTGTGCAGGCTTCAATGAGATAATGTACATAAAAATTTAGCGCAACGCCTAGTGTTATTTGTAGCTAACTAAATATAGAGCCTGAGTCTTACCGCATGAATGAAATCTTTTTCTACACGGATATTGATATAGAAACAAACACGATTATCGGGGAAATTAGGTGAGTGGTGGTTCCTTTGAATGATCGTTTTTCAGTTTGCTTTTATTTCTGGGATCTTTGCCTGAATGTTAACACAGCAGCCACATCTACTTTAAAATGCTGGGGAAGGGGTGTTTATTTTGCCTTGATATAAATATATGATATTCAAATGTTTTATAAAGGATGGTTTTTCAGAAGAATCTCTGTGTTCTCAAGGAGGCTGTTGGAATATTTGTGGTAAGGGTCCATTGTTTTAACACTTCCATTAGACCCTTGTGATCACGTGTCCAGTGGACAGTCCCCACTTGCCCTCCCAGCTCCA